TAGAATAGAATAGAATAGAATAGAATAGAATAGAATAGAATAGAATAGAATAGAATAGAATTCTTTATTGGCCAAGTGTGTGATTGGACACACAAGGAATTTGTCTTGGTGTAAATACTCTCAGTATACATAAAAGAAAAGATACATTCATCAAGAGTCGAAAATCATTAGGTACGACACTTAATGATAGTCATAGGGTACAATAAGCAATCAAATCATCTAGGAAACAGACAATATAAATCGTAAGGTTACAAAGTTACAGTCCTACAGTCACAAGTGGGAGGGGATGGGTGATAAGGAGAGATGACAAGATTAACAGTAATAGTAGTGCAGACTTTGTAATAGCTGAACAGGGTTGAGGGAATGATTTGTTTAGCAGAGTGATGGCTTTCGGGGAAAAACTGTTCTTGTGTTATAACTGAAATGGTTGCCAAAGGCTGACACACACGATTCAGAAAAAAACCAATACACAAGCCTGAGGATGGCAGATGAGATTCTGCCGAAATGTCGCTATAACTTTAAAAGCACAACTATTAAGACATGGCAAAATACCTGAAGAAACTGCTTGCCCTGGCACGAAGCCGTAAGCACCAGCCTGAGGATGGCGAGTGGGACCTCGCCGAAACGTCGCCAAGATACTCTTAATCTTACATGGGAAAAGACCCGAACACACCTAGACCTACGTGTGTGTGTGTGTGTGTGTGTGTGTGTGTGTATACTATTATTGTTAAATCTTCTCATCACTTCTCGTCACTCCTTATCACCCAATCCCCTCCTACTTGTGTCTGTATGACTGTAACTTTGTCGCTTGTATCCTTACCATTTATATGGACTGTTTCCTAGTATGATTTGATTGCTTATTTGTACCCTATGACTATCATTAAGTGACCTTTTGATTCTCGACTCCTGACGAATGTATCTTTTCTTTTATGTATACTGAGAGTGTTTGCACCAAGACAAATTCCTTGTGTGTCCAATCCCACTGGGCCAAGAAAATTATTCTATTTTAACTGATGTGAGGATAGCACCTGCCTAATGTGTTTTAACCTGGCTATTTAACCTGGTTCTCTTCCTGGTTGCTAGGTGGGCGTGGCCTAATTGGCCTCCTGCACTACAGGGTGTGTGTGTGTGTTTTTGTCCTTCCTGGGCTCCAGAGGCTTTTTTCGAGCCTCCAGGAGAGCAAACACAGCCTCCACCGGGCTCTGGAGGCCTGTTTCCACCTTGTGGAAAGCCCGTTTTTCACCTTCCCTGAGCTTCCGCGCAGGGCCTGCCAAACAGGCTGTGTGGAGACTCGTGGAAGGGGCGGGGTGGGGTGGGTGGGGCCAACCAGTCATTGCAACTACCGGTTCGGCGAACCAGATATAAAATTAACACCCAGTTCATCCGAACTAGTAGCAACCCACCCGTGGACCAGATTCACTTAACAACTGTGTTACTCAAAGAACAGCTGCAGGGATTCACTTAACAACCGGGGCAGTAAAAGATCGTAAAACGGGTCAGAAACTCACTTAACTACTGTCTCAGTCAGCAGACGGTAAAGGACAATAATAAAAACAAGGACAAATAGGCTGAAAAATAGCTTCCTATCCCAGGGCAGTAGCTCTATTGAATTCTACTGTCTAGTGCAATATTAATGCGATATCAGGGATGTGATGACCCAGGGTCAGAGGTGGGATTCTACCAGTCTGCACCTATTCGCTAGAACCGGTTGTTAACATTCTAAGCAGTCCGGAGAACCGGTTGTTAGAAGAAATTACTGGACTAATCCTGTAAGGAAGGCAGGAAGGAAACATTCTGGTGTTGCTTACAGAAGCTCCTTCTCCGTTAGCCCTTATTACATTCTTGGCAGGACTAGACTTCCTGTCTCAGAAACTTCTCTGGAGTTTTCCCCCCCTCCTTTGATGGTACTTTGCTTGTGTGGAGTGACCATTCAAAGTTACAATGGCACTGAAAAAAGTGACTTATGACCATTTTTCACACTTATGACTGTTGCAGCATCCCCACAGTCATGAGAGGCCAGGCGAGGAGATGCGTGCCTCGATGTGAGTGATGTTGAGTTGGCCACGCCCAGCCAATAACATGACCACCAAGCCATGTCCACCCAGGCACATGACCACCAAGCCACGCCCACTGACTAAGCCACGCCCACAGAACTGGTTATTAAAAAATTTGAATCCCACCCCTGCCCAGGGTGTCACACAAAAATAACAAAGTCACAAAAATAGAATAAATTCCCTTTAATGCCTCCAACCTGGCCCCCAATGTCCAGATCAAACTCTTTCAAAAACAGTATATGAAGGGAAGAAATGCAGTCCGAACCCAAAGTAAAAATAGTTAGAAATAAAAAAAAACTAACACAAATCACACTAAAGTAATTAACACGGCAGGCCAGGATGATAAATTGCAGACTTCCACAAGATAACGCAGCACCCACAGTTGGGAGGATGCCAAAATCCAGATAAGCCTCGACCAAGATAATGCATGCTTTGCTTCCAGCAAGGAGCTGTGTGGAAACGCCCCACTTATATCCTGTTCTCTCAGCTGCAACTAATGAAAGGGATCAGGGCCTTTTTCTCTGTCATAAGCCATGTTGCTCCCTTCTCCGTTCCTCCCTGCGTGCCCAAGGATGAAGAGGGAGTGGCCCTGGGTCTTCCTCTGAATGCCCAGCTGGACTGTGCCCTTCCCCAGTTTCCTCCACAGCCACCAGAGCCACATTCCCACTCCCTGTCAGCTGCTTGACTTCCACCTCACCCGTTGGGGGGTCATTGTGGCCACTGTCAACTTCAGAGGCTTCTCTTCTTTTTGTAAGGCTGGTTCTAACCATCTTTCCTTGCTTGTTGTTACAGAAAGAAGCAGATGAAACTCTCACCACCAATGCCTGGCTTGAGCAGGTGAGTTGCCCCATTTCTCCCAGATGTTTTAAGATAGCCAAGCTGGCCCTTCAGATGGCTGAGGGACATAAGTGATTTGGTGAACCCTAACCCCTCACCCCTAACCCCTCACCCCTAACCCTAGCACTTTGGTTAGCAGATCTGGACGGATTATCGGCTGCAATGGAAGAAAGAGGAGTACGGAGGGGTCACTGTGCTCCGTGTCCGGCCGGAGATGGTGTGGCTGCCGGACATTGTTCTGGAGAATAAGTAAGCTTCTTGTTAGATTCAGAATTGATAACTTCCAATGAGTTTTGCATTTAATAGTGCTCTCTATCCCTCCCTCTCTCCCTCCCTCCCTCCCTCCCTCCCTCTCTCTCTCTTATCTCAATTCAGTACTCTCTCTTTCTATGTTCTATCTCTCTATCATCTATAATCTCTCTTTCTTTCTATCATCTAACATCACTCTATCTATCTATCTATCTATCTATCTATCTATC